CTCACTAATTGTATTTAGATTTCAAGAAGATTCCTAATTTTACCCCAGGTCTCCTGTGTTATTGCTAAATTCTATGTAAATGACCTTTTGGATATATGAATCCATGTAGTTGTTAAGATAACTATCCATTGGGCACCATTCCATATTTCAAGTCAGCAGAGAAAAGATATTATCATAAATGATGACAGCTATCATGGTCACCTGAAGAAAAGTAAATTGAATTCTTACCTCATACTTGTGACAAAATAGAGTTGAGATTAAAGATTTTAAAAACAAATAACAAAATGATGGAAGTATTACAAAATAAAGAATGCTAAAACATGCTCTATGTCAGAATATAAACATACTGGAAAAGGCCTTTCTAAATATGACCAAAAAAAAATAAAAGAAAAACAGAAGACAGAAATAAAGACTAACATATGTGACATCATACAATTTTTTTTTCAAATTCTTCATTTAAAAAAAATGTAGACTAGGTATGTAGCTCATTGGTAGAGTGCTTGCCTAGCATGCATAAGACCCTCAGTTTGATGTCCAGCACTGCAAAAAAAAAAATGAAAAAAGACAAATGGAAATGAATAGGACAAATGCAAATATAAAGTTAATATAAAGTTAATAGGAAAGGAAATACAGATTATTTTTGAACATGAACATGAAACGATTAATAACCCCATTCAAAATAAATAAATGTCTTTAAAATTATGATTGTATTCCATTTTTACCTGTCAGACCAGAAATATGAGCAATGAAAGTACGGGAAAATAAATAGTTTCATATATTGTTAATGGAAATATAAGTTAGTAAGACCTCTACAGAATACAAGTTGAATTATCTGTTAAAGATAATCATATCCTTTGACTCTGCAAAGTAAAATTTTCCCAACACATGCACGCGTGTGCACAATTTGGCCCCCTTCCTCAGTATACACGGCCATGGTCATGTAACTGGAGCAGCCATCTTTTAACCACAGAGACAACTCCAGGGTCAAGCAGATACCCTGAGGATGACAGAGGGCAGAGGGAGAAGAATATTCATGGATACTATGGAGCTATTGGCTACATTATACCTAGAGCGGTCTTACATTAGAACCTATATGAGACAATACATTTCTCAATGATTTAAGCCATATTTGAATTGGGATTATTGTTATTCACAACTAAAAGTATCCTAAATAAATAAATATGTGTATAGAATGTATATACATATTTCTACACACATATACTATTTAAATTTGAGTATCCTGTTACTAAATCTGTTATAACCACTGCTCTATATTTGAAATATATTATTTTCTTTTATATATTATTTTCTTTTAAATAAATTTTAAATTTATTTTCTTTTAACAACTAATATGAGCTGCATGAGCTCAGTATTTATTGTCTGTATATCTCTATCAGTAAAGGAAAGAGCTTTGCTGGCCCTTCAGTTGCAGAACTATTTCTTCCATGAGTGGCCCTCTTCATGCCATATGTTTTACTTATAGGAATGCAGCTTACCGTATGCATAGTTGGGAAGGTAGTTAGATTCTCATCAACTCTATGCAGCTTCTTTAGAATTCTGTTTGTCTCTGGAGCTGTAAAGAATTTATTTACTATAAGACACAGGTCCTGGTAGGTTCTAACCTTTGCGACAGTTTTACTGACTGCTGGGTCATGTCTACAAGTAGCAGGGGACTACCTTCATCCATTCTTCTTTGCTATAATTTACCTCTGGCACCTGGCCTTACTCAGAGCCCAACATGACCTGGGATTCCTCAGTAGAATCCTTCACCTAGAGTGCAGGCAGCTACATAATTCACTCCATTATTTGAGTTGCCTGAGAAGTATGCAGCTTTTCAGGAAGATATTCTTGGAGCTTGAAGCCAAGTGGTTGCCTAGTGACCTCCTGATTATTTCCATTTAACAATTTGGATTTTCTCCCACAGTCAGTTTAGTGTTCTCTATAAACCGGGGGTTTATGCTTAATTTCCACTTCCAGAATTCTATCTCAGCATCATGAGGATCTGATGGCATCATGTGGGCACTTTCTTGTGTTGATATATTTGGTTTTTGGCTGGTTGAGATAATGCCAAAATTCTGAGCTCTCTGGGAATAGAGCCAAGAGACATTTAGCTTCTTAGTCAGAGTTAGTGTCTGTGGGAGCGGATCTGGGAAACTCTTGTAGAGGATTTATGGCCAAAACTACGTAATCAAATTTTGTTCTGAATAGGGTCCTTTATAAGACATTAGGGGAAAAAAAACTGACATAACACTTGTAGGAAAAGTTTTAAAAGAATAATTTTGAATGGTTAGGAAAACGATTAAAGGGGTGAATTAGTATATAGCCTTTTTTATGAATTTAGTTTAAAGGTACCTTTAAGATTAATTGAATCAAACAACTGTTGGTCTTGTTCAGGTGGACTTCCAACAGATCTCCTTAGGAACAGAATTTGAGACTATTTTTAAGATGTCTATGAGTTAATACTAATGAATAGCGTTTTGCCTGTAGTACATTTATAGAGCTAATAAAGTAAAGTTTATTAAATTCAATTTTAAAGAAAGTAAATATATGACATGTGTTTAATTAAAACATTATCTTTATTATGAAGCAGAAATAACATTGTTGAAATATTAGAAACCTTCTTTCTTATAGTAATCTAGAACTGGGCTCATTGAAAACTAAGCATATATGTCTGTTTCATTGCCAAGCTATATATTTCTGTATCCGGAATATTTAGTGTAATGTTAAGCCTGATGTGAACTATTAAACCTTTATAAGTTATACAATGAAGAAGTTGTTTGCCACTGTTCTACATGCATTTTATGCCCATCGGATAAACTACAAGGCCTCATATGTAAAGTCTTACATTTAAAGCATCTATGTTCTTCATTGGATATGCTACTGAGGTATTTTAATATAGGGAATATATTTAAGTATTCCTTATAACTAGTGTTTTAAATGGCACCAAAAGCAATTTTTCTTTTAGCCATGTATGATATCTAAAGTAAATGCACTCAGTTTTTGAAGACTTCCTTTGCAAGAAGCCATCTAGACATGAATGAACTAAATTTAGTACCATTTTGCATTGCTCAACATCTTACCTCAGGGATGACCAAAATAAGAATAATTTACCTTAATGTGTTTTGCAATATGTAAGCTGGAATTGAATGACCATGGAAATAAAATTTCAGCACCATATGTCACATGCCAGGAAAGTCATAACTTACATATCATTGCTGTGTTTTAATTTCTTTATTATAATATTGATAGTATTCATGTATTTAATTTTAAAAAGTGATCATTTGATAGTTTATATGGATTTTTATGTTACTGTTTTAATAAGTACTATTAGAGTGAATTATAAAGCAAGTACATAATGCATTTGAATTTAAACTTCTGTTATTATGCAAATATAAATTATTATATTTTATATTAATTATGAATGATTTGTTTCAAAATCATAACATAGTAGAATTTTAGTCATCACCCCATTAAACTTAGTCACAGCTTTATGGCTGTTTCTAAACTAATGGAGGCAGAGAAGAATAACTTCAAAAATCTTTATGTATATGTTGCACTTGTGGATTTTCAGGTACTTTGTAACTGTTTTGCTATTCATTTTGAAAACTGGTGACCCAAATGTTCAGATAAATTTGTCACTATCATTAAGTACTAGGAAAAAGACATAGCTTCCCTGTGTCTCTGTGGCTTCAGTAGAACTTGTAACTCTAGGACCATACACCCTTGCCAAATGCAATGCATTTGGAAATTGAACCTATGAAAACATATAAATAGTTTTCAGGTCAAGATAAAGGGAAATGAAACAGACATAATTAGTTATTGATTTTGTATGTGTAAAACAACTTGATAAGGACCAATTTAGAAGGAATTTGACTCATAAGAAATAAAAGCAGATGACCTAAAGTTTCTGAACAAACTTTTGTGCGAAACCATTAGACTTTAATAATAAACTGAAAATCAGAAATCAACTTAATTATTATAACATAAAACTGTTATGTCTTTCAAAGATGTGAAAACACTTTAATTTATGTTGCTTCTACACATTGATGTAAGAAATAATTTCACTTAGTAATAAGTACAATGAATTTGGTTGACAAAATCCCAATTTACAAAATAAAAGTAAATAAATGCAGAAATATATTCATTACCAAATCAGAAAATAAAAGCAATAGTTCTTATTGAGATATGATTTTTATTATCCTTTCAGATAATGGATTTAATCATTTTGGTATGCTTAGTAATATTTATACTATTAAAGTAATGGAACGTTGAGATTTGAATACAATGACAGTAAACCATTGGAATTTCACATTCACATTATACAGTCATCATGAATCCATACGTGAATGTTGATAATGTAAAAAAATATAAAATGATTGTAATATAACCATCTAACCAATAACATATGGAGTTTTAAGACCACTATTTTATTTGCTAATTTGCTTTGAAATATAAGCAGTTGCTGTTCTGTGATACATGACATGTCTTTGTGCCTTAATACTTAATTTGAAATATCCTTAATGTAAAAATATACCAAAGTAAATAAAAAAGGAAACACTTATTTACAAAACAATATTGTATACACATTATATAAATGCAATTGTTTCAAAGTCTTTTACAATATTGATAGAATCAGTCATTTCCATAATTTTACCATAAAAACTACAGTGTTGCAAAGGCAGAGTGTAATTTTGAAATTTTAATAAAAATGAATACTATTTGACTGCCTTTTAAAATAATGCAGTTTCTCCAAGTATGCTGTGGAATTGAAAGCCTACCTCTAGAAAAATGATTCTTCTTTCATTAAAGAAAATCCATTCTCCATTTGGAGGTGTTTGAAAATGCACCTGAAGAAAGGAGAAACTTATGATTTTACCAAATGTTTTTTATTTGATAAACCTGCTAATATCAGTCATTCAGCCTATTGTATTAGCACCATTGGTATGGATTATTAATGTACTCTCCAATCATAATAGGAATGGAAATTTGCATGTGGCATACCATCCCTATTTTGTGGAATTTTATCTTACCAAGTATGCTATCATACAATATAAATGCAAATGTATAAGGATGTTTCAAATGATGATATATGACAATCCTGCATTTTACCAATACTATATATATAGATTTTTTTCTGAAAATATTAAGTGAAACTGTAAAGAAATAGACTTTAAAGCATACTCCTTCAACTCACCAGAACACAAGGAGAATTTCTTTCATTTCCTTGCCTATGTTGTTGTTGTGATATATATGAATGTGAATGTAATTTGATCTCCTTCTAGTTCAACAACCCTGGAAATCATAAAACTTCCTATTGTATGATTTATTTTGATGGTTAAATGCCAACCATTGCATATATTCTCTCTTTTAGTTCATATACTGTAGCTTGTGCTTAAGTAACTATAGCATACTCTAGGCCTATAGCCTGTGGTACATAATTTCACAGTTTCAAAATTGTTGAGGGGAAGACCTTCCATGTTTTAGGAAGTTATGAACGTAATATAAATCTCATGAGCACCCACAGCGGTCTACTACCATGGCTGGAATTTTCCCATATATTATTTGCTCTTTTCCATTAAAATATAACATATTAATTGGAGACATCTTTGTGGGAGTACAGCAAGGGCCTGCTGAACCTCGGGGGTTTGCTTGGTGTACAAGATGAGTATGAGGATATTTTTGTAAAAATACAAATTCACACTCTCCAGAGCAGTAATTTGCCTTGTATCTTTTGGGTGCAATAATCCAGTCCCATCCAAAAGCTTCAAAATCTACTGTTAGTGGGTACCGACAGCATCGTGATTCTGTTGAGTGCTCATCACAGTCAAGCCCAAAATCTCTTCTGGATCTTTTTGGTGTGTCTGTAACCTTGACCTCTAAAAAGGGATTCTGTGTGTAAAGGAAAGAATAATTAGTAATATTAATAGAACTTAATGAAACTTCCGAAGTCATTATTAGAAGAAACTAATCATTTGTTTATATCACATTTAATTTTTAAAAAAAGCATGGTATTGAGGAATTTTAATTTACACTAAGCTTGGGTTTCCTCTTATGTCTCAAAGAATAGAACAATAATACAAATTTTTCTACGGTCAGTTCATTCTGTTTTTTTAATTTTTGTTTTCCTTGATTTGATTATCAGACTGCCTGATTTTCAAGGCACAAAATAGATGCCTTGAAAATTTTTATGGGAAGAAAGGGAGGACAGGGAAGGAGACTGAGGAAGGGAGGAAAGAGATGAGTTTCCCCTTTTCATGATTGTTTATTGTGTGTTGACTACACAAGTCTGATGATTCCTGGAGGGATAGGTATGCTCATCCATCCAGTGTTCCCTAGGTCTTTACTCAGGGAAACATGGATGTCAAAGCCAGAGCAAAGAGCTACCTCTGAGCAGTGTGTGGATTATAATGGGGGAAAGGAAAGTAGGGTGTTGAAGGTAGTTCCACATATATTGGGTTCAAAAGAGAATCCCTGAAGGAGGGAAAGACAGATTTATAAGAAGACATAATAATGTCCTTTTTTTTTTTTTAGTCTTTTACTGAAAATTACTTCTGTTCAGGTATTTAAATAATAAAATTTGCCAGCACTGTTACTGCCCCAATCTTTCAATGTATTTGAGATTTCATTTACTTTTAAGTGGAAAAATCTGAGGAATACATCATATTTACCACCTGTTTAATTATAATTAAAACCTATCACATTTTGATCATTAAAATACTACCTATAGAAAAGAATACTTTCCTAAATAATTGATAGTTTTAATTTTGTATAAAAATGAAAATGGACCAGGTAGTTGTTATTACTTAAGATTGTCAAAAAGAGTGATATCATTTGGGAAGTCAATAATATTTAAAGTAGCACATATAAAAAATAGATCATTTGGAAAATTATATAGTCTTTTAAGCAATATGTTTTCACTTATAGAAGCTCTGATTTACTAATTATATAATTACAGCCATGACCATTTATAGATTTAAAAGATAACTTGTATTTATTGTTTCCAAGTATAATCTTCTGTTGTAAAATTATGCCAATAGAGAGAAGTAAAAATACTTGGTCACATTAAAAACATTTTTAGAAACAGAAGCAACAGGACTCCATAAGCTAGAAAAATTACCCTAAGTTTATACTAGGTTTCTAAATTTTTTGAATCAATTTTTATAATATATAAAATATTGTCACCCTTGGCCCGATGTTAAATTAGTTGGCATTTCCTAAGTAAACTCTTGCACAAGAATGCTAAGGCAGATCAGAAACAAGCTAGGTATCAAAGGTTAAGTAGCCTGGAAATTGAAATTTTATTAGGGGTATTCCACAAAGTAATATACACAGGCACCAGTATGTTAACATCCTGCAAGTACTGAACATATTTGTCAGAAGGCCCTTAAATATATTTTGTAAAATATAATCCTACATGTATACTTAGTTAATTGATATAAATAAAAACAATTTAAGTATAATCATAACTCAAAAAATTTTTAAAGTTCATTTTTTCTGCTTTATGTAAAGACAATATTTTTCAACACATTTGGGAAAAATAAATGAGAGAAAAATGTTCTGATTTGTTGGGTATGTATTAAAATCTATAGAGTTCTTATTTTTATTTATATAATCATATATCATATCAATGAGATCCACTTTATATTTCATTACCAATTCAAAAGAACTCCTTATGAAGTTAAAAACCATGGTATGGTTGTTTTCTAAAATCTTCATGCAAAGTAAGAGTAGCAAGGGAGTGTTTCATAGGATATGAAATTGGAAACCTACATTTATTGGGTACAGGGGCTACCATTGGGGTAAGATACTTTTGTCTAGCTTGTAAGCATAGGAAATTGACAATTATTTTCACTATTATTTGTTCACAGTGTGAATAAAAACATAACAAAGTAGTTAGAATGTTATTTTCAGTTATCTCTTACCAGCCCATCTTCTCCTGGTCCTGGGAAGGTTACAGCAAGATCATGACCATTCTCATCTAAAGCTTTGATTTCAATGCCTAAGTTGGATTCAGGTTGTTTGAGCCAATTTTGCAACACTGTCTTCACATCAATGCTTTGCCAAATACCAGTGCCTGGGTTCATGTCAAGTTTCAGAGATCGGATTCCAGTATACCTTGTACCGTCTTTCATGGGTTTGATGAGTCTCAGGATTTGCACAAACACCGTTGTAGGAGTCTTGACGGGTCTCAGATAAATCCACAGTTGGGCCTTTATTACTTTATTATACTGTATTTTAGAGCTAAACTTAAAGAAGCAACATTTGGGTTTTCCTTCAACTTGCATTAGAAAATCAGCTATAAATGAATAAGAAAAAATTATTGAAATGAGTTCCCATTTTAAAATGAATAAAATTCCTCCATATTAATATCACTTTTCACCATTGGGATAATGTATGCATAGGCAGTCTTTCAAAATGAAATACTATGTAGAACTTCATTCATAACTCAGAAAAATATCAAAGAAAATAATTACTCTAGCTGTTCAGAGTTTTTAAGATACATGTATTTTCAGCTATTTATGAGGAATTATTCCCCTTCCAGAGAACTAAGGACTAAGGAAACTTTTATAAAGGAATGAGCAGTGGATGAAATTTTCAAATGATGATGATTAGAGAGAACAAGAGACACTGTGGAGGAACATCCACTTAGAATTCTTTGGGAATCTGAGTAGTTACACTTACTGAGCAGCTGTACCAATCAGTCTGGATGAAGGAACCCTTCCCCCAGGCCTGAATTACCTGGGGACAAGACACACTGAGCAACTTACTGAGCCTCAGGAATGAGCAGAAAATTTAGTACATCTGTTACACTTGGCCTTGGAATAGCCTTTCAAAGGAACAAAATTAAGCAGGTAATTAGCACAAAAAATTTAGATGTCATATTTGAGTTGTCTCACAAGTTAGAAAGTATTGTCTTTAGGGCCAGCCTGTCACTGTAGGCACAAACACTGACAATTTCTTCTCTTCTGGTGTTCCAAAATTGTGAATAAATAAGGCAATGCTATTCCAGGACTATTTGATAGCAGAATCTTAAATGAAAATTATTTATTGCTTTGTAATCTGGGTACTTAATAAGGGAAAAAATAATTTGAAACTCTTTCAGTCTGGTTTAAAGTATGTAAAGTGCCTTATTAAGGCAAGATCACAGACACATGGCACAAAAATTTTTCTTGTCATGCCTTCTCTGTCAAGGTGCCTATCCCCCCTTCCTGAAGAAAGTATTCTTTTTGATCTAACTGAAAAAAAACTGTATGAAATATATTATCTTTCAGAAACAATGTTGATACTACAGTTAATAGTCTTCCCTCTCATGAATAATAAAATATTTTAGAACATTATTAGGCAACATGCCTGCATAGAAATAGGCAGACTGGGTACTCTCAATAAGAGTATTATGATCAAGGTACAAGGACATCGTGAGTCACAACCTACCCGATTAAAATATTTATTTCCTAGGCATTTTCTGATACTTAGCTCACAATTATCTCTAGGTTGTATTTACTTTATCAATGCCCTTACTAAATTAAATATTTAAATTTATTTTACTCTTTGGTGTAAGAGCTTTCAAAATTAAGTATTTTATTTTATTAAGAACATAAAAACATTATGAAAGATGGTTTTAAATAACAGAAATCATTCTAGGTGCACAGCAGTGCTCAAATAAGCTAACATCCAGCAAATTTCTTATGATTAGTGAAAAACTTATTATAAATGCTTATTTTGGACAAATAAATGCAATTTACAATTTTATGTAAGTTCTTAACATTGCTTGTGGTATTTCCCAGTCCTTCTCTTGGTAGTATTAATCAGTGAAAGTATAAGCATGCTGTATTTTCCATAGTAAACTGAATAATACTAATGCTCTACATTTTTTTTTAGATTTTTACCTCTATAAGGAAATAAATAATGCAGCATATTTGTCTCAATATATTTCTCATGAAACCTTGAAAAAAAGAACCTCTTTTTTTTTTCTCCTACTTACAAGCCAACAGCTTGTTAAAAGAGCCTGAAAATAGATCTGTTTCTCATAAACACTAGAACAACAGTCAGCAGAACTGATGATATACACTAACAGAACTACTTACACTCTGTAGGCATGGTAATGATTGTTTCCGTCGTAACGTGATAATCATCATCTTCCAAAGAACCATCACTGCTGTCATCCCTCTGAACATCGTACTGATCAATCAGTTCCCGGAGTGGAGGAGCTTTGGGTAAAAGTTGTCTTATAGCATCTTTGCTGATGTTAGGAGCTGTTTCCAGACGAAGTTTACTGAGAATCTGAATTTTTATGGCTTCTATTCTTGAATATTTAGTGTTTTGTCTCCAAGTACATGCATTACACAGCCCCTCTTTTTCCACATTTTCTTTTTGCTCAGTGTTCTCATTTAGATCCACTGGACCAGCAACAATCAGCATAAACAGGTAAATATAAACATAGATTTGCAGCTTTCGCATGATTTTAAAACCAATACAATCCTTTTCCTGGTTCTTCTTTTTTTCCTTTTGCTTTTCTTTTGCTTTTGAGCAATCCCAAGCAAACTTTTAATGCACGTACAGTCTGAGAGACAACTTGCCACACCAGTGAATCTTTTATACTGTATTCCAAGTGGCTTTTTATATTCCAACTTAGATGAGACAAGTGTCGTCAGGATCTATGATTGGCTCTTGCTCCACAATGAATCTCGCTGTCAGAGGTTAAAACCCTGTCTGTCACAAGTCACCAAGCAGTATTTTGTTACAGTCGAGGGTGAGCTGATTCATTTGACTACTTCATAAAAGAAATAAATCCACAAATAACGAAAGATATATGTGACATTTGAAAAATTAAAGTTCATGTTAATAATCATGTTAATAATAATATAAACTACACTGAAATCTTATTTTTATAAAACTCTCAAGTTATAATTTAAATTAGTAAATTTAAATTTATACTTCATAATTAAAATATAAAATGTTACTTCCTCAAAAATTAAAATGATTCTATATTATTTAGGCAAGTGTTTAAAGTAAAATTATTTTTATTTGTTGTATTATTTTTAGCACTTTTTAATTAGGGAATAAAAATTAGAAAGACCTGAATTAAAAGAAAAGTAAGATTGTGATACTATTAAAGATTTTCATCTATAATTGAAAAAACTTGTTTTCCTGACTAAATTGTTAGCACATATTGAAAATCATTCTTACAATAGTATTACATTGTGCATGAAATTACTTTTAAATAGTTTAATGTCTTTTTTTATACATTGAAAAATGAATTTTCCAAACAAATTAGTTTTGACTGATTACTATGTTGTTTCCTACTCTGAAGATGCAGATTAATATCACTCAAAAGTATTTCTTCATTGTTGATTACCAAAAGGGTAATATTAACTAATAGAAAAATCTCAATTTCGAATAAGAAGGCAATGGATTTTATAACTGGCATTGCAGCATTTATTATAGTTTATTTCAGATTTCCAGTGGTAAAAGTAAAAAGTATAATATCTAGTTTTTAAAAACTGAATCTGAATATTCAATTTATAAATTTTACATAAAAGTGAGAGAGCACCATAATAGAGGGGTGCCCTTTTGTTGTTTCCCAATACTGTGATAGGTTTGCACCCCTTTGCCAGTTTCTCATTTTGACCAGAGGGCAGACACCTGGCAGGGATTTGGGGTAAGGTCTGGGAGCAGAGAATAGAGCTTTTTGTTCTCTAAATTTAAGTGGCCTCTATAGGGATCAAACTCTCACCCTTTGCTTTGGGAACCACAAGATCTAATCAAATGAACTATTAAAGAGCTAAATAAACATAGCCAGCAAGGAACAGAAGATGTTTCCAGGCCACAGGAGATTTCTTCTTCCTACTCCTTTTTTAGGAAGCTAAGGATTCCTAAGAGATTTAATCCATTACGTTTTTCCCCAAGAGAATGCAGCGGCTCATATCAAATATTCATTTTTTAGGTCACCACCATTTTTGCACACTGTACACCAATTTACTGCCTCAGTGCACTAAAATGCAACTCAGTAGCCTGAAAAGTTAATGCATTTTCATCAAATTCTTAAGAGGCATCTACATCTCTTGAGAAAAAATGGCCTTACATAATGCATTGGATTTGCCCATCATTAAAGATTAAGGAAAACCAGACACAAACCAGATGCCCTGAAGATTTCAGATCCTCTTTGTTATGGGACAGTATTAGATGAAACTTGTTAAGTTTTGTTTGGAAAATTCATTTTTCAATGTATAAATCTTTGTAATGTTATGAACATGTGCTTCTGGATACTTTCCAGAAAAATAAACCTCTTTAAAAACAAAACAAAACACATGTTTAGAATTATCTAGCAGTTGATACTCATGCACTAGAGTCAGACCTGAGTTCAAGTCTCAGTTTAACCACTTCTAACTATGTGATAATGATTGAGATAGTACTTAACTTCTCTTACCTTTATTTTCCTCAAAGGGGCTTGGGGAGAAGTAATTTAATAATGCATGCAAATTGCTAAATATAGCGCCTATACTACAGTAAGCAATCAATAACGGGTATTTGTGTGCTTAATGTTTGTTTGGTGCTGTGGGGTTTGAGAATATGCTTCAAATTACTCTCCACATGAACTGAACTGCTTCAGGTCATAGCTGCCAATTGTCAGTTTACATGTTAAACTTCCCAAAGCAAGTAAAATTTTCTAAGGCAGCCATTTAGTAGAAGACATGTTTTAGCTCATTATTCTTATTACCTGGAATAAAGTAAACAAAGGTTGTCATTTTCACATAGTTAATTCTCATTACTCATGAAATACATATTTGGAAATTTGCCTACTTGCTAAAATTTCAAAAAATCAATACTCCTCGTGCTTTTATAGTCATTCATTGAGCAGCAAAATAAATGAGGCTTCGGACACACAGGTTCCCAGCTGAGGCCAGACAGGGCAGTGCTCTGCCTTATTATTTCAGCCCTCACACTATGTACAAGTACCCATTTTCCTATTTAGTTCCACATTTTTTCCCATTTTTGTGCTTTTTACTGTTGTTGCTGATTCTGCTGTTTTCAAACATAGTGCTGTGCAGTGTTCTTAAGCACAGGAAGGCTGCAGTGGAAAGTAGAATGGTGATTGCCAGGGTTTGGGTGGGGCAGTTAATGTTTAATAGAGACTTTCAGTTTGAAAAGATTTGAAAAAGTTCTGGGGGTAGATGAATGGTGGTGATGGGTGCACAGCAATGAATATACTTAATACTACTGAACTGTTAACTTAAAAATAGCTAAAATGGTGAGATCTATGTCATGTATATTTTACCACAAAATTTTAAATGCCAGGATATGTCATAAGAAAATTTTTCCTTATGAAAAAATATATGTGTTAGAAAAGCTTTGTTCAGGAATGAAGGTAGTGCTTTTGACTGTGAGTTTAATGTTAATGAATAACACTATATATTAATTGGTTGATGAAAAAATTGTGACCAGAGGCTCTCCTAACCCTGTATTTTCTCTAGGAATTGAGTATTTGCTGATTCACAATAGATGATGAATTTCCAGAATATAACTACCATGAATAGTAGAATTGTTTGCATCTAATCAGCTTCTCTGAAGGACAGTATGAATGGATTAAGAAGTACTCAAGCAATTTCAAGAACTGTTTCTTCTCCAATGGCAATAACTGCAGCTCCCCAGCACAGAATGCTGGGAGCTACTCTCACAAAGGAGACCAGACAGGGCAACAATAGGACAGGTGAGGAAAGAAGAATTTCTTCCAGTCTATGGGAAGAACTTGGTTTGTGAACCTGTTGGCTTTGTCTTAGGTTAGAATTCTTCAAAAGCTGTTTCTCATGGCAGTCATAGGAATGGAAGACAGTAGACTTGGAATATAGTTCTGGCTTTGTTCTTGATGTTTCATGTAACCTCGAATAAGTCATTTAGCAAAGGCTTCACTTATGTGTATATATATATGTGTGTGTGTGTGTGTGTGTGTGTTTATGTATTTATTATTTAGGAAACTTTTGAATGCCTACTATGTATATGTACCTGGCACTGTGCTAGATCTGAAGATAAAACAATGAACCAGATAGACACAATCACATCTTCAAATAAATTATGAGGAAATAGGGTGGAGTATACCCTTTTCAATTGAGGTTTATCCCCTAAGGCAGTAATCCTTAAACTTTTTGATCCCAGGATGCCTTACACTACTAAAAATTATTTAGGATCCCCCAAATCTTCTATCTGTGTGAGTCATATCTATTATTATTTAACATATAATAAATTAAAACTAAGAAATTTTAGTTTACAGGCATATACAAACATAAGGACTCTTTGATGACATAGTGATAATTGTCCTTATGTATCATGAAACCTCTGGAAAAGTTCATTTTACACATAAGAAAGAATGAAAAAAGACGGTCTGGTATTGTGACTCAGCGGTAGAGCACTCCCCTAGCATGGGCAGGACCCGGGTTCTATCCTCAGCACCACATAAAAATAAAGGTATTGTTTTGTGTCCGTCTACACCTAAAAAATAAATAAAAAAGAAAGAATGGAAAAATAAAGGTAAAAGTAATATTAGAATTATTATGAAAATAGTTTTTACTTCACAGACTTTCTGGAAAAGCCTTGAAAAACACCCTATGGGTCTCTAGACTGTGCTTTGAGAGCCATAGCCCCAAAGTAATAATATTTTTAATATCTTTTTTTTTGGTGGACACAATATCTTTATTTTATTTTTATATGGTGCTGAGAATCGAACCCAGTGCCTCATGCATGCTAGGCGAGCGCCCTAACACTTGAGCCACATCCCCAGCCCCCCAAAGTAGTATTTTTACATTATTGCAATTGAATATTTCCCTCCTGTAATTGAAATCCCCTTCTCCCATTATCTTTGGCTCTGCTTTTAATAAAACATCAAATATAGTAATTATAAAAACTTTGTATTTATTTAATACTATTTAATTGTTGCCAAGAGTAGAAATATTATTGTATTGTAGTCACCAAGTACAAAATGGTCATCAATCTAGAGTACATTGTTATAGACTGAAATCTGTATGTAGGCTCTAGGGATTTCCTGTGGATGGTCTTCAGGTCAGTCTTGAGGTGTTAATATTCATATTATGGCAAGGACTCCTAATGATGTTTCCATGAACAAAGTGGTTGCATTTCATTGTCATTCAAAATGCAGTTTTCCCCTCCCACCTTCCCCAAATGGGAGCTCTTGACTACTTATTACAGATTTGAAATACCGAAGACAAAAATAAGTTATAACTTGGCTTCTTTACTTTTTTTCCTCATTTTTTCATTGAAAATTATACTGGACCCAAAGACTTAGTGTTAAATTTTATCAATTGTGCTCTCTCCTCTATTATTATAGTTCCCCCATGTTTGTGTTTTGTTTCACTTATTTGTCCTCCCATCTTTACCTCTCTGTCCTCCAAATAGACTTTGAGTTCCTAGAGGGAAAGATATTATTTTGTTGGTTTTTGGTCTGGTATGCGGGATATAATTAGATGAACAAAATAGTGCTTATTGAATAATTAAACCAGTTAATGAGTGATTATACCTTTAATATTAGAAACTTCAACTTTTTAACTTTTCAATAGGTAA